AAACAAAAATAAAAATAAAATAAAAAAGAAACAAACCGTAAGCAAAATAAATTAAATCCTTTCGATCATCAAATTTGTGACAAAAAAAAAAAAAAAGAAAGAAAGAAAAAAAAATAGAAAATGTTATAACAATAAATAAAATAAAATAAAAAATAAACAAACCGTCAGAAAAATAAATGAAACCCTTTCTTCAATCATGAAATTTGTGATAAAAATGAAGAAAAAAAAAAAAAGAAAAAAAAGGAAAAATGTAATAACAATATCAGTGATAATTTCATTTAGGTATAATCCTATGAAAGGACGATATCAAACATATATAGTATATAGATACATATAGATATATATATAATAGCACATTACTCACGATGCTTGACGTGAATTCTAGGAACGGGATCCTGTGGCCAAGCCACGTTTGGCGCGGCTAAGCCGATCAACGCCAAAATCCTCAGTGATGCGCTCATCGTGGAACAGCGCCGAGTCCGACGACCTATCTGGGGGGAGGATTGGAAGGGATGGGGAAGGGCTGCCTAAGGTCCTTCGTCCTTAGGATCAGCGATAACTTTCTAGCCTCGACATTTTCTGTCTGGTCACAACTCTGACACAATCCTGTAAAAATATGAAAAAGAAAAAAAAAGGAATATCAGTTAGATAATTTTGTCAGTAAAACAATGTTATTAAAAAGAAAGGAAAGAAAACTTTCTTTACTAGTTCAATATTTTCTTGTATAATAACTTTATTATCTTTATCTTTATCTTTTCTTTTTTTTTTTAATCATCGTAGTTCGTTCGTTAGTTTTCCGTTAGTTTTCTTTTATGAATTTTTATTAAAACGATAATTGAATTTGTTAAATGAATTAGTTGTTTTTTTTTGTTTGTTTTTTTTTAATTTGAAATAGAACATTTTGAATTTAAATTAGTGTTAAGAGTAGAAATAGATTTAGAATAGTATGTTTAATTAATTAAGTGTGTTGATAAGATGTGCAAGTAAAGAAAAGATAAGAATTTCATAAAAAGAAGTAGTAAAGATCAATAATTTGAACTTCAACTATAAAATCAATATATATTCATATATATTTAATATAATTATTGTAATAAATAATATATATTATATTGTTAATATATTTAGGGGTTACTTTTCGAAACTCTACTAACCCTATATATTAAATACATAAATTTATATATATATAAGTATATAAATATGACGAGAATTAAAAAGGATATATATAAGACTACTTGAATTATTCAAAAAGTTATGAATGTTTCTATACATCCTGAAACATCATAGATAAGTTATACTACTTCCAACTATTTCTCATCAACGATTAAACTAAGAAATCTAATGTACTTTCTATAGTACATACACACATACTACACTTAAAATAATGTAATATAATATGTTTATACATATATAAGTTATAACATATGTTTATACAATATACTGCATATAGAATACACTAACAGACAACCAAGTGTCATTTCACGTTCGTATAAATTAATTTGATGCTTTTCCCACGGCTTAACGATAGTAATCCATCGGTATCGTTCATGGTTCGCTATTCAAAATACATTTACATCGTGTTACAACGTACACTCCATTATAAACGTACGAGCTGGGTATGAAAGTGGAATATTTTTCGATAAACAGTAATGGTGTATAACTACGTGTATGAGTACTACATATATGACTGCATATATGATTGCATATATGAGGGTATGAATTTGTGTGTGTTGGTATATCCGGAAAATTTAATACCTTATCGCAAAATTGATTTTAACGGGCTCGATCGATGCATAAATCTTTCGACTTAACGATGGATTTTAATAAATAGATTACCAACTCATTCTACGCCAGTTACACGAATATATAAACTCGCTTCGTTCTTTATTACCTAGATATATATATATACGTTTATCAAATATATTATCTATTATCGAAGCTAAAATAATATTCCCTAATTTTATCGATTCTCTATTCGATCGATAAATCGCATAAACGGAGGTCTATATTAAAACGCAAATATTTAATGAATATTATTTTCATTAATTTTAAACGGATGAGAATAAATGGCTATTGAAAAGCGATTTTTGTAGTTTCTTGTTTTTCCTTTTTTTTTTTTTTTTGAATCATATCTCGTTAATGAGAAATTATTATTTATTTATTTGTTTATTACATTAATTTATATTTAATATAGGTTGAAAAAGATTTTTAGTATATATGATATTTATCTGTTCAAAAAATTGATGATATAAGTTCGTAGATAATTTTATTAATTAAATATTTTATCAATAATATAATATATATATATATATATAAAGTTTCAGTATTACTATTTTTACTATTATCAATGCTGGAATGACAATCCTAAAACATTAAAATCCAACAAAATTGCAATTGTTCCGTGACAACGTGTCATCTTCGTATTAGAAAAAACTATAATAAAATAAATATAAAATTATCACACCATTACTATTTTTACTATTATCAATGCTAGAATGGCAATTATAAAAAATTAAAATCCAACAAAAAATTGCAATTGTTCAACAAGACAACGTGTCGTCTCATCTTCGTGTTAGGAAAAATATTAAATTTTCTGTCTTTCGGTCGTTTGACTTTCCCTATTTCATATGAATGAACGAAACGAAAACGGAAAATCTACAACCCCACCCTCACCCACTCACCCAACGAGAAAATAGAAGCAAAATAAAAAAAAAACAAAAATAACAGGAAGAGAGCAGGAAAAAGGAAAAGAATAAGAGAGAAAAAGAGAGAGAGAAGGAAGAATTAAAAACATTGTAAAATAAAATGTACAGTTCGGAGTAGTGCAGGTGGAAGTTGAAGGTTGGGGGGTTAGGGGTTTGGAAGTGAAACCCCATGCCTGTGGGGGGTAAATAGGATGAATATAAAGGATCGGAGAATANTATTATTTGGTATTAAAATATAAAAATATATTATGAAATATATTATAAAATATATATATTTCATATATATTTATATGAACATATAAATGATATATGTATATATATATATATAGATATGTATTTAACAATAAATTAAATGGATACATCCAAATGTTTATAATGGAGATCGGCCAAACTAGAAAGAGTAATAAAGAAGTAGATTTAAAAGTTGCATCATGCGAACTTGGCATTTGGCAATCGCATATTGCATGAAAGTTTCACCACGAATATGCATCCTACATACTGATCTACAGTTTCAATTCAGTGAAAAGGAACAAGAGGAGGGCGAGGGAGAGGGGGAGGGGCAGAGGGATAATAAGCGACGTTCGAAGCGCGTAAAGCCTCGAAAACGAAACACCGAGTGGGAAGGCCATGATTTTGACACAAACAAAGTTATCACGATGTTTTCACAAAATACAATGACGACGACAAAAAGCCACATTTAACTGTATTTGTGTGTGTGTGTGTGAGTTTGTGTGAGCTTATTCCTCGCGGCTAGAAATTCAACCTTTTTCTACCTGTGTTAACATATTTTCATTACAAAGAGAACGGAGAGAAAGAAAGAACGAAATAAAAAACAAAAAGAGAAAGAGAAAGAGAAAGAGAGAGGGAAGAGAGAAAGAAGATATGAAAGAGAAATGGAAAAAGTGGGGGAGGGGGATATAAATGGGAGGAGGAGGAGAAGGAGGAGGAGGAGAGAGAGAGAGAGAGAGAGAGAGAAGAAAAATGAGATAGAAATGGATAGGCAAGAAAAGCGAATTAAAAGGAAAAAAGACAAAAAGAAAGAGAAAGATGTATAATGAAGAAGTGTGCATATGTGATACGTATATGTGTGCAAGATAAAGAAAAAGATAGGTAGACTGAATATACATGCATGCATACAACACGTGTATGTATGAAAAAGAGAGATGTGTATATTGCAGAAATATGCATGCGTGTACACGTAATATGTAAACGAAAGAAATTTGCTTATAAATATATGTATGTGTGTGTATTCATATATGAGAAAAGAGAGAGAGAGAGAGAGATACATACGTGTAAAGAAGAAAAGTATTGAAAAGTATGTGAAAGAAAGATAGAAATATATTCTATATATATATACGAAAGAAAATATTGTACGAGATACGGGGGTGTAAAGGAAAAAGAGGGAAAGGTGATGATAGGATTGAGTAAAAAGGGATTGGTATTGGGGTTGGGGTAAGGTAGGGTAGGATAGGTCGAATTATTCCAAAGAACGGATAACTACTACTACTACTACTACTTACTACTATTACTATTACTATTACATTGAAGACGACGAGGAAAGACGACGACGTTGGTTGCCATACCACAAAGATTTTAATTTGAATTTGATTCGCGCTCCTGCACACTTTCCGCTTTGAAGTATATATATATATATATACATATATATTCATAATGCACACACTAGTAACCTGCGATAACACAATGCATAATTTATAAGCGGTACTCGGTACATCGAACACATCTTGTTTCTTCTTGAATAAAATGGAAAAGCAAATTCACGATTGGACGGATGATAAATAGAAAGAGAGATAAATAAACGAAAGGGGTTGATCATGATGATGATGATGATGATGATGATGATGATGATAGGAAAGGGATATAAGGAAGGGGACGAATATAAAAGATAATAGAGAGAATTATATGATCATAAAGAAAAGAAACGATCTCTCTGTGAAAAGGGAGAAACGGGAAAAGGGAACGTTATTATTGGCAAAGCGTGAAATTAAAAAAAAAGAAAAAAAGAAAAGAATAAAAAATTGAACACTGCGAAATCTCTTTTTATCGCTACAATTTTCTATCACCAATCGAAATCATGCGAACATTCGCAATGTTGGTAAACCACACACCGAATCACGGAATATATCCGATTGACAAATTTTACTAGGTTTCGATAATTCTCTTTTCTAAACCACCCCACTCTCCTCATCCTCTCTCTTCTCTTCATCCTATGAAGTTGTTTTTTTTTTTTTTTTTTTTNACACACCGAATCACGGAATATATCCGATTGACAAATTTTACTAGGTTTCGATAATTCTCTTTTCTAAACCACCCCACTCTCCTCATCCTCTCTCTGTTTTCAATGGTATTTTGATTTTTTTGTATTTTTTCTTTTTTTTTTGTTTCCTTGTTGAGGAGTGGGTGAGCTTTCAGTTGCATTCACAAAAGTACCGACAAAATAGATTTGTTTTAAAATTAAACGTCGAATTTTGATGATTTACGTCGAATACGATGATTTTAAATGTTATCAAAAGTTTTTCCTTTTTTTTTTTTTTTTTTTGGAATTATATCATTTTCATTCTGATAATAAAATATATTTCAATACACAAATACATATGCAATATATATATTATTTATGGCATAGGATCAAAGTTTCTGATATGATGATTTTAAATGTTATTAAACCTTTTATTTTTATCATATCATTTTCATTCCTTTAATAGAATATAATTCAATACACAAATACATATGAAATAAATAAATATATATATATATATTATTTATGGTATAGGATGAAAGTTTGTAACTTGACATTTATAAACATTTTATTTTACATCAAACCCCTAAAAGAAAAGAGAAGGTGCACCTATATTAAACTCGTGAACTCGTTAGAAAAATAAAAATAAA